ATGGGAAACCTACCAAGGCAATGTCACTACAAAACGAAGCTCTCTGGGTTGAGAGCAGCCTAGGTCTATGGGTGTAAAATACTGAGAACTGGCTCTGCACCAAGGTCTATGATCTCCCCAGCCACAGGCTTTTGACAAGGGACACAGGACCAAGCAGGAAATTTCCCAGTGGAGCAGCCTTCAAACCCAATCAGAAAGTGGTTAGTTACGCTTTAAGAGTCATGTCCCTATTACACCAGTAAGCATATCTTATCTGGCAGGTCAGTATTGCAGTACAGATTCCGACACTGGGTAGGATACCAATGTCTTTTCTCTCCATCAGCCTCCCTAGGACTTCCCAGGACTGTGAAAGGCTAGCCAGCAGGAAGGATGCTTCCTGGCCAGTTTGGGACTGATTTCTCTCTGTCTTGCAGCCAGGGCGTGTGATGTCAGCAGCAGGAGTGTTCTGCCATGTAGTTATGAGGGAGAGCCAAGGGCAATGGCAATAGCCTGTGCGATCTGGGAGGCCTCTAGGGCTTCCCTATTCAATCATTCTAAGAAGGGTTTTCCATACTGTCGTACAAATTTTAATTGGTCTTTACAATAAAAACCCGGATTCAGATATCAACATGAAAGCTGAAAGATCAGAGAAGCAGAGCAGCCAGACACTAGAAAGACTTCTTACCTCTAGAAATTCTCAGACTGAAAGGGGCAGAGCTCCTGTCTCCACCCTGCCTTATCACTTCTTCTCTCAGCCCAGCCGAATCACTTCCTGCTTCCTCCTCCCAAGTACTGGGATTAAAGGTGTGAGCCTCCCAAGTACTGGGATCAAAAGCATGAGATCCCAAGTGCTGGGATTAGAGGTGTGTGCTACCACTGCTGGCCTCTAGTAGTTAGCTCTGAGCTCTGATCTCCAGGCAAGCTTTATTTGTTAGAGCACAAACAAAATATCACCACACCATACTTTGTATATACTGAGATATACACTTTTCTGGAGGAGCATTGTTCACCAAGGCAGGGTAGCTCTACTTGAACTTCCGTTGTTAAGAGCTGTATTTTGAAATTATCTTACTAACTAGTGGTTTCTATGGGGCTTCTTCATACATCCTTAGTTTTGTTTTTTTTGGGGGGGGGGTTGTTGTTGTTGCTGTTATTTTGTTTGGTTTGGTTAGGTTTGGTTTGGTTAGGTTTGGTTCGGTTAACCCACCTACTATCCCCCCTCTTTCTCACCACCCCCTTCTCCCTGGTTAATGCTTTAACCCTCAGTATTTCCCCTCTTCTTCCTTTTCACGTGTGCTCTACTCTCCCTCCACTTAATTTTTTTAGGTTGGGCTGTGAGACAGTAGATTTCCATATGACTTTTCACACCCCTTCCTTTGGGTTAGTCCTCCCTTTCACCCCCTGGTTTTCCCCATGCTCCCATGTCTTTCCCTGCTTACATCTTTCTGGCCCTAGGCCAGACTCCACCTCACATTTTTGGCTTCATCTATAATCTCCTATCCCTACTCCCTTAACTTGCCCTGCAAAAGTCTCTTTCTATAAGAAAGTAATTCTTTAAGTCAGTGCTACTTCACTGGGGTAAATTAGTACCTTGTAGGGCAGTGGGGGGTAGGGGCTCAGCAGTTTCTGTCACATTTTGGATTGTCGCAGGGATAGCTAGAAATTGGAGAGGCTGATGGCCATCCTGTGGTACACAAAGATTGTATGAGACTAAATGACAATAATCATGACGTTAAATTATTTTGCTTTAAGGTTCTCAATGAGATTATTCCAAATAACCTTCAATATTTTTTCCTTCCAACAGTTACTGAGGAGTTAGTATAGTATGACATGACACTCCTAGTTCTGGGCGCCCATGTCTAGTAGAGGAATGGCAGGGTGTGCGATATACACAATACAGAGCATGCTGCATGCCCAAATGGAAACATAAGAAAATACAGGGTGTTAACATGAGGGTGGAACTGAAGGAAATGACGTCACTTTTTCCTAGAGGTTTGCAGACTGCATACTTATATCCAAAGACATCATTCTTGCATATGAACTTGAGAAAATTGCCAGGGAAGCTCCGAAAATCCCTAAGTACTTTTAAAATAATCTTTCTGCTTGCATCTACATTCCCTTAGAGAGAAGAAACAAACAACCTACTGATCCTTGGTGACTTTGTTTCTTATTAAAATTATTTTTCTAATACCAGAAAAAGGCTTTATTTCTTTCTCCTCTTTTTAGTTTCTCCTATGTATAGCTTTAAAATATTGATAAGCACTCCCTGGAATTATGTAACTGCTAACTGAACAATGCGTATAACTTCCTTCATTTTGCCTTGACTGGCAATTTAAATTAACGCACAACTTTGAGGGTGCGCTTTCCTAAGCACCCGCTGTTTAGGTGGCCTTCGCTTTCTTCAATATTGAGTGCTAAGTGTAAAGCAGAAGCAACTGGCTCGTCCCTCCCCGCCACTGTTTTCCAATCTGAAAAAGTCCTGAGACAGCATGAAAATGTTTAGGAGGAAGTCAAGTGAGCATCAGAAAAGAGGGGCATTTTCCCTCAGAAAATTCGAGAGCAAACCAAAAGGAGTTTGATCAGATTTGCGAGGCAGGCATTGCACAGGGGCCACTTCCATCACAAGCATCAGAGACAATGATGCATCTCTCAGGTCAGTAGGTGGATGGTAATAACACTGTCTGCATCGTTGCCTAGAAACTCACAGTGGAAAGCAGGTATGGAACTGAATTACCCAATGCCATATACTTGCACAGAAAATATCCCAGGCAATCCTTAAAAATGAAATTAACATACGTCTCCTAGGATTTACTTATTGATTATAATGCACAATACTTACTGAGCAGCAATGTGGTTTTATTTGTGCTTCTGTTAACACTGGGTTTACATCTTGACTTGGGCACTTTCTTTGTTCAGATCTAGTTAAGTTAATACAACATTTCTGAGTCTACATGCTACAATCTGTGAAAAGAGGAAAGCCACACCTATTTCTCAGATTGTTCCTTATTCTACCAGTCTGGATCCTATAGAGGAAGTAATAACTAATCAATTAATTTTAATATAAGTAATTTAATATAGGGAATTTGCTAATTGAATTGAAAAATTAGACAAACCAAAAAGCAAATGGTGAAGAAGAGTTGCCTCCTTGAGGGCTGGGAGAGCAAAGAGCAAAAGGTTGTCTGGATGCTCAGAAGACAGACCTTGTAGTCTAAGGCAGTGGAAGGGGTAACCACTTCTGAGGCAACCATTTTGCAGAGGTCTGGGAACACACAGCGCTGAACCTGGCTGGTTCCAAGAAGGTTCAAGTGAAGCATATATTGGAACGAAGTACGGCTGAAAACTGATGAAAAGCAAGGCCAGCCCCTGGCTCTGGCCTCCATCTCACTCTGGTGCCCTGACTGCATACAACAAACAGAGGAATGATTGCAGAGAAGCAGCCTCACAAAGCAAAGTACAAAGGCTGGATTTGGAGCTGAGATGTGGATAGCATAATAGATGACCCCTACTCATATTCATTACGTGCATTTGTGGGGTGCCTATCTGTCGGATTAGCTGAGTAATGGAGAGTTTGGAAACATAGATTGAAAATTCTTAGAAAGTCAGCTCAAAGTGGATTTCCTCCCTTAGGCCCAGTAAGACGCAGAATGGAAAAGGAAATGAAAAATAAATGACCACAAATACAGTTCCTGCCTCAAAGGAGTCTAAGTTTACATTAGGTACTATACAGTTAAGGCACAGAGCAAAATACCAAGTAATACAGTTGGGTTTCTATAGCCACAGTTGCCACATCCTCAGATTCAACCAAAAACAGATCTAATGTATTTGAATAGGAGTACACTGAGCATGTGCAGAGTTCTTCCTGTGTTTCTTGAGCAAAGCAGTATAGCAATGATTCACACTGCATTTGCCTTGTCCCACACAATTGCATCACACTTACAACTACTGTAAGTCTCCTAGAGATGATTTAAATCATCTGGGGGGGGGAGGAACCACTTTTGATTTCCAGCACCCACATGGCAGCTCACAACTGTCTGTAAACTCCAGAGGATCCAACTCCTTTTGCTGTCCTCCACAGGTATCCATATGGTTCACATACATACATGTAGGCACTCACACATACACTTTAAAAAATAAATGAATATATACACCAGAGGATTGCATAGGTTCTATGAAAATATGATATTTTATATCAAGAACTTGAACATCTATGGATTTTGGTACCCATGGGTGGAGGGAGTCCTGAAATGTATATTGAAGGATGACTAGAAATATTTATACAGTTTGAAGAGTATGTCAGATACAACAGTGTTTATGAATTCAGAGAAGCAAAAGACTATTTTCAAGACTATAAGGAAGCCTTCACAATAGACAAGAATGAGCAAAAAAATTCTGAAATGAGAGAAAGTATACAAGTGAATCAGAGGGCTGGAGATTTGTAGTGTGTGTGTGTGTGTGTGTGTGTGTGTGTGTGTGTGTGTGTGTGTGTGTGTGTGTTGCCACTTGGCCTCAAGTCCACAAAGTAGACTCAGGATGTGAAGTATGGCTTGGGGTGGGGGACAGTAGGATCTTTTTGCTCTTTATTCTGGTTCATAAGCAGCTGTTTAAAATAGCAAACATTACATGTAAAATACATTATCTTTAGCCCCTGACTGTTTAGCATAGCCTTGCACAGAGCAGAATATTGCGGGGAGGGGTTCCATTGACCGGGATGGGATAGCATAAGATAAAACAGAATTGTAGAGATGCATCTTAACTGAGTGTCTACATACATCTCCTTCTGACAGCAAGACTAAGGTTAGGGACTAAAAGAACTCAAGCAATGATAAAGAAAATGTAAGTAATAAACATGTCATCAGAGTGAACATGACAATGATTATGGACAGGCTGGGGGGAGCTGCTGAAATGTTACAGGCATTTTTAGTGTGGGGCACTTTAGTGAATCCTGTAAAAGTCATTAGTGCAGATTTGCAGATGAGTTTGCCATGGACTCATGACTAATCTCTCGGTGTCCTCTTTGGCAGATCCCTTACAGGACTTTGGCCTTTCCATTGACCAGTGTTCCAAGCAGATCCAACCATACCTCAACATTAGATTTGGCATCATTCTAAGTAAGTAGATGTGATTCCCTTCACATAGAGCATAACAGAGCCTCCTCCTCTGCACACACAGTGACTCACATTGACTAGCACAGCAGACTGCACCACTACCCCAACTTCACCTCTCACATTCCCTCTCTAGTTAACCCCTTGTGGTCTCCAGATGCTCACTTCAATACTGCAGGCCCTGGTCACCATAAGCAGCAAAAAAGAAGCGATTGTCTTGTAGTTACACAAGAGGCTTGCATATTACTTCTACCACAAACAAACTCCATACTGCATGGTCTGTTACTCACATTATTTGGCTTCCCAAACAATAATGGAAGTTCTTACAATTAGGAAAAAAACAAGTGAGGGGTGGCAAGTCTTTCTTCCCACCCTAGGCTGTGAGAACACACACTTCCTGGTTGTTTCTTGGTTGGCCATGCCATTATAGTAAACCAATATGTTTGCCATAGCTGCTAAAAGCATCCTCCCTTCTAGAAGACCAGTTTTCTCAAAACAGAGAAGCATTCAGTAATTGAGCATCTAGAATCGTTCTCAAAGACCAAGAACTCTCACATGACTGGATCTTTCCACAACTCTGCACAATATCTGGTCTCCCAGCATCTGGAGAAATGGTGTGGGCAGGGAAACCAAGAGGGAAAAAAAAATAGGTGAAAGACAAAAAAAAAAAAAAAAAAAAAAAAAAAAAAAAAAAAAAAAAAAAAAAAAGAGTGTGAAAGGGGCCAGAAAGAAATGGAGGCTGCCATCAGAGCTCGCTGAAGTTCTCTAGGAAGCCATGTGCAGTATCTATCAGGCAACATTAGTGGGAATATGCAGACCCGGCCATGCCCTGCTACTACCATGGAGGATAAATAACTCTATGGAACTAGAGAACTCTAAAAATCAGACTTGTACACAGTCCAGTGATGGGTAGAGCACTGAGCATCAGGAGGGGAGTGTAGCCAATGAGCTGCCTTATCCAGAACAGATAAAACTTAAGCTAGAAATGCTGCTCTGTCAAGAAGAGACATGCCCCCACCCCCTACATGCATCAGGCTGAAGGCTGTGAGGATCATCTAGACAATGCGGTTGAGCTTGAGTGACCTTGCAGAGCAGACACACAGCACTGAAATTGTGCTTCTCTTTAGGAGAGGACATCAGAAAGCTGTTTCTGGACATAGCTCTTGTCTCAAAAGGTGCTTCCATTCTGAACTACTCCTATCCCATCTGTGAGGAGGACCTGCCCAAGTTCTCTTTCTGTGGAAGAAGAAAAGGAGGTAAGCCACCTGCCTTACTGAATGCTTGCACCTGACAGCAGGGTCCCGGTGGACAGAGAACCCTGGCTCTCCGTGCTCTCCTTTGGGCAAACTACACCCCACTCATCATCACCCACTGCATACAAATACCAGGCAATTCTGTGCTCAGGGCCTCCCTCAGACAGATGTTGTGAGCATTGAAATGAAAGGCGTGCATAGGAGATTGTACTAACGGAGGCTCTTTCCACACATATAACAGTATCTTACTCTAAAGATTGGCAGCAGAAAGAGCCAATAGTTTCCAAAAACCCACGAGGGGTCAGTGTATTTCCAGATTTCCTTTAATGATCTCTGCAGTGGCAAGGTCTCGCCCATACAACAAGAACTCAGAAAAAGAAAAGGCCGCTGACTCATGGGGGAATTGAATAGCTGCTGCATTCCAACTAGAGAAGCAGAAACCACATTGTCTGAGCTCCTCTCTTGCCAGTTCACTAAGCTTTGACCCTCTGCATGGCCCCCAGGAGAACAGGCAAATCCACCTACCCATCCCCACCTTTCCTTTCCCCTTGCTTGCCTCTTCCAGGCCCAAAGATGCTTCACTGTTTATGAGAACTCGGGTCTGTTCTGCACTGAGCTCCCCAGAAGTTGATCTCTGTCAGCTGCTCCCTCCTGCCTGTTCTCATTGGCCATAGGGGGTACAAGTCAACTCTATGTTCCAGGAACCCAACCACCTTGGCTGTGTTTCTGCTCTAACTAGATTTTTAAGCAACAATGATACTATCAAAATGACCCAATTATCTTTTTTAAACAAAAATGTAGAAAGCATTGGAGTCCTCTTCCCATACCATGGAAACAGAGGAAAGATGTCTGCCTGCAAGAATAGTGAATGAAATTAAAGGAGAATCACCAGATAGAAAGTCGTGGTTTTGCACAGTGAGCTGCTCTGCACTCGAAGCCTGCACCCCAGCCTCCTCTCCCCCCCCCACCCCCCAGGACATGCCTAGAGCGCTCTTGCTGCACTTACCACCATCCTCATCCCCACACATCAGATACACTAGACTATGGGGCTGGGGTAGTGTCACACTTCATGTTTTGTTCCCTACACAGTTGTGTCTTGGTGTCTGTTCTTAGAAATCCCTAGAAATACCAGACCACTCAGGTGTTCAAGCCTCTCATAGAAAGTGAAGAACATTTGTACAGAACCCACATATATGTTAAAGGCTATCTCAGTCATCTCCAGATCACTCACCACACCTAATGTCAACACTGTGTGAGTCATCGTAGAACTGTGTTGTTAGGGAACAATGACAGAGGAGGTCTGGATATTCCAGAAAGATACTTTCCCCTACACACACAAATCTCTCCACAGTTGGTTGAATTGGGGGCTCCAAAGCCTGCAGTTACAGAAGACCAAATATGTTTCAAATGTACACTAGGCTTAGGAAGCTTGGCTCACTCATTCATACACAGACATACTTACACATATAATACATACACACACACACACACACACACACACACACACACACTCATATACAGACACACACAAATTCACACAAACACACACACTGAACACAGACATACTCACATACACATTAACACACACACATATACTCACGCACTTACGCATTCACTCATACATACACTCACACACACTCACACATACACTCACACATACACACAAACATAAAAACACAGTGAACCCGCTAACACCACCAAGCATTGTACCAGCCACTGTTCTAAGAGCCTTATACCTAGAAACAATTTCCTTAACAGTCCAAAGTCACAAAGGGGTGCTATCCATACTCCCCAAATCTGTAAATGCAAAAACTGAGGCACAAAATTTCAGGAACCTATGTCAACTCCTAGGCTGGTAAGAGACCCATGGCTGGAATCCAGGAAGGCTAGCTCCCAAGTCTATAATAGAAAAAAAGTGAGTGAACCAAAAACAAACATGAGACATGTGGATGCGTGTGCACATCTTTGGGCCAGGAATTTATTTAAAATAATCACTTAAGAACTCTGCCTGGTGATATGACTATATTTTAAGATCTTTTCTTATTGTTTAATTTACTACAAAATGTCATCAGTTTTCCTCTTTCAACTTAGTGGAAAGGTGTGTGTGTGTGTGTGTGTGTGTGTGTGTGTGTGTGTGTGTGTGTGTGTGTGTGTGTGTGTGTGTGTACATGCTGGAGGTCAAAGGACACTCTCCAAAGATGATCCTCTCCTTCCTAGTTGAGACAGGCTCTCCTACCGTGTGCTCCTGGCTGGCTGAGGACTTCTGGGACTCTCCTGGCTTTGCTTTCTGTCTCAATCACAGGAGCGCTGGGATCTCAGACACTCGCTACTATGCCTGGCTTTACCTGGGTCCCAGGGACTTGAACTCGGCTCCTGACTTTACATACCAAGTGCTTTACCCACTTAGCCATCTCTAACCTCTAGAGATTTTTAAAACATACTTTAAATTGAAGTAGAATTACATCACTCCCCCTCCTTTCCCTCCCTCCAGCCCTTCCCAGCTACCCTCTCTCCAACACCTCTCATGTCCTCCTGACTCTCAAGTTGACAGTCTTTTTTCTTTGACTATTATTGTTACATACATGTATGTATGGGCATGTGTGTATACTTGAATAAATGACCCGTGGAGTCCATTTTCGTTGGTAGTGTGTATATGGTTTATTAAGGCTGACCACTCTTCAACGAGGGGGCTCATCCCTGGGAGAGGCTAATTCTCCTTCGCCCAGCAGTCATTAGTTGCCTATAGTTCTTTGTCTAGGGGTGGGACCCCATGAGATTTTCCCCCTTCTACGTTAGCATGTTTAATGATATTGCCATTTGTTCCAGCTTTGTTTGTACAGCGGTTTCTAGGACAGGCTCTTTCCTAGCAGACTTCCTGATAGTCTGGCTCTTACAGTCTTTCTGCCCCTCTTCCTTGATGTTCCCTGTACCATACATAGATGCAGATGCAGTGATGTAGATAAATCCACTGAGGCTGGGTTTCCGATGATCTGTTGATCACTGAATCATGCCCAGCTGTGGTTTTCTGTGACTGTCTCCCACTGCTGTACAAAGAAGTTTCTTTGGTGAGGGGTGGCAGCGAAACTTATCTGTGAGTATAAGGGTAAGATTTAGAATGTAGTAAGGAATTATGCTGGTCTAGCCAAGTGGCAGTAGTGGGTTCTCCTCTAAGAGCCATGACCTCACTAACTCTAAGAAACTGGCTAGGTTTCTAGTAGCAGGTACGATTTGTCTCCTGTTTGTTGGGCTGTAAGCCCAATTAGACAGCTCTTAGTTGCCACCAACATGTGAGCAACACTCATGGCACCTGTATGCCCTGGAGATTTTTGATGAGTTGAGCACATTCATGAGCTTCCTCAGCATGAAACACTTTGAGTCAATCTCTTTTCTTCTCTGTATTTTTTAATGTGGAAAAATGTATAAAACCAGGATGGCATAAGTAGTAGCATCAGCAGCCAGAAGAGGAACTACATCAGGAAGTGAATCTGAACAGCAATCCGTAGAGCATAATTAGGAATTTAAAAGTTCTCACAAATGGTCAGATGCTAATCCAACCAATCAGGAATTTGGAAGTTTTAAATACAACACAGAAAGCTTAGAGAATTATTACTCTGACATGGGCCTCTTTCTAGTCTCCTGGCATCTGCCTTCCCTCAAGCCCATGGAGATACACATACATAAAATATTAGAAGCTGAGAGACATATAAGAGAAAACATGTAGTGTTTGTCTTTCTGAGCCTGGGACACCCCCTTAATATCATATCTTCTAATTCTTTCCATTTTCCTGAAAAGTGCATAATCTCTTTTTTCTTTATGGATAAATAAAATTCCACTGTGCATATGTGCTCTGTTTTTATTATCCATTCATCTGTTGAAGGACATCTAAGCTTATTCCATTTCCTTGTTATTGTGAACAGAGCAGCCATAAGAATGAATGAGCAAGTGTCTCTTCAGTAGGACGTAGAGTCTTTTGAATAGATGCTCATGAGTGGTATGGCTAGGTCATATGGAAGCTCTATTTTTAGCTTATTAGAAAAATGTCCCCCACTGAGATCCACGATGGTCACACCTGATTGTATTCCTACCAGCAGGAAATAATGTTCTTCCTGACATCCTTACCAGTGTTAGTTGTTGTGTGTTGTCCTGGCGACAACCATTCTGACAGGGGTGGGGTGGAATTCCAGAACAGACTTAATGGGTACTTCCTTGATAAGGATGTTGAACATTTTTTTAAAAAAAACATTTATTGAACACTTTTATTTCTTATTTTGAGCACATTGTTTAGCTCCTCAGCCATATTTTAAATTGAGTTGATTGTTTCTTCATTCTTTAGTGTTTGGTTTCTTTGTCCATTTTAGATACTAATCCCCTATCATATGTATGAATAGAAAAGAACTCCCATTCTTTTTTCCTTTTTACTGAAAATAATTTTCCATACAGCATACTCTAATCATGACTTCTTCTCTCCAATCTCCTCCTAGATCCCCCCACCCATCCAATTCCATGCCTCCCTCTCCCTCCCTTTCTCTCTCTCTCTCTCTCTCTCCCTAGAAAATAAACAGGCAAGAAAAAATAGAATTAAAAAAAAGAAAAAACACAAGAAACACACAAAGAAAACCCAGAAAAACACAAAATCAGAAACCATAATGTACAAACAAGAGACCAGCAAGATAAAAATTACCCAAACAAAGCAATATAAGATGGAGAAAAACACCTCCAAAAACACCCTTGAGTTGATTTTGTGTTGGCCATCTGCTTACAGCGTGGGGCCTCCCTTAAGTGTGGTTAATATACCCAGTGAGACTCCACTGAAGAGAACTAACTTTTTGCAAGCAGATGTCAATTAGAGACAGCTGCTTGGTTAGGGATGTGAGCTCATGTCCACTTCCTTCTCTCAGCACGGGGACCTCCTCCGACTTGAACCTGTACGGGCCCCGTGACTGCTGCCACGGTCTCTATGAGGTCAGAGTTGTGTCTGGAAGACACTGTTCCCTTGGTGTCCT